GCCGCACGCTTCGCGGAGCAGGGCTTGCGTCGGGGCCGCGCGGCCGACTGGTGCGCCAGCCGCCTCAATGTGGCCGCGGCCGTTCTCATCACCGAGGCTGTGAGTGGAATGTCCTGCAGGGTGAGGAAACTCGTTCTATCTCGTTCTCCTTTCCTTGCTCCGTTCATAGTAAGGCCAGGAGCCCCGTTCGTAGCGTCCTTCGGGGTGCAGCATGCAAGGGACGCATGAGCCTTTCCAATTAGAAATTCATGCTAACCACTGGCAGGGATTGGCAGGGTATTTTTGTGTGCTTTGACCCTCACCTTTATCCAACAATGATTAAGAAAACCGAGAGGCTTGTGAGGATTGGCATCGTGCTTGAGTTGACCGCCTTCGGAGATGCTAAGAAATTCAGAAGGTTAATGTCGGAGGCTAATTTACACGAACTGAAGGACGTCAGCAGCCCGGTGATGACAGGAAGGCTGGTCGCGGTTCTTCTACTATCCGTTTGCCAGCATAGATGATGCCACCGAAGTCTTTCATTCTTGGCCACATGGCTTGGGCAAGGGGCTCTGGGAGCCTGAAGAGTTGCGGCCAACAAGTCTTTGCTTTGAATAAGAATGCCCGTCCGTGGACGAATATATAGATGTTTTGGGCATGGATTGAAACAGACATTGTGTTTTGAAATTAGAGTCGTTTTACATCTATATAACTCTACGCAATTTTATGCAATCATTCCAACGCACGCCAATCTGTGGTGGGCCTAACCGAGGCCTCATACAGCACGCATTTTGTACCATTTTGATGCCTCTTCTGGCATGCTGACCCGAGAGTTGCTATGTCACGGGGGAGCTTCGCTGGGGTGGCCTGGTGGCAGCCAGGGTCCGATGTCGGACTTACACGTGTGTGATAGTGTGTGCGTGTGTGTGTGTGGAACGCTGGGTTATCACATATCTACAATTTGCCCTGCAAGCCCTGGTGGACCCTCCAATTTGACCTCCGATTCACACCCGCAAAAGTATCCGAAACTGATAATTATGAGCAATCGCCGCTAGTACTATCGATGAGCAATTTGGGGAAGAGCGGTCGCGATATACATATAGATAGATAGATAGATAGATAGATAGATAGATAGAGAGATACATACATAGATTCGATAGATTCGATCGATAGATAAATAGAGAGAGTTGGCTGAATCGTTGAAAACGATAGAGGCATATGGCCTTTCTAAGGTCCTAAAGGGTTTCATGAATCATGTGGATTAAATCAAGATATGTTGTTGTATAAATAAGTATATCATATCACATAAAATATATTGTCATGATAGTTACATACATTGGGCAAACCACTGACAGCAGAACTGTGCTGTTGGCTTTCGACTGGTTCAGCGGGAGATAGTCCAGAATGACAGACATGCACACGTGATCACTGGTCACGTTTGGATAATGTTCAGACTTGACGGCCAAGTCCGTGATAAGGTTCTTTGGACCTGTGACCAAGCTCAAAGCTGAAGTTATACGACTCTGATCGACTTCAATGAACAAACTGAGCAGTTTCCCACTCAGAGTTGAATTTGTCTCTGGAGTCTCTGGAGACTAGTTTGGCCGGTCGACTAACACAGGAAATGCTCGACTCCGCAGGAGCCATTGTTCACTTCCATGTCCCTCTCGGGAAGATTAACATGGAACCTGAAAATGTACCTAAAAACTTTAATGAGCACAAACTCGTGGCCAGACTTGCATCACAGCCATACAACTGCATTGCATACAGTTCGTTTTCTAGATCCTCAGTGGTGGCAGATGCGAAGAGATCTCGTCTCTCACCGCGTGGCATGTTCGCCACCGTTTCGGGGAAAGGGACCGCGCTTCCTACTCAACTCCACCGGATGAGTTGAGTTGAGCGCTGAAGGGACGCACGGCACGAATCGTGGGCCGACAAGTCGATGAGCAGATTCCCAGCAACCCTTCGGACTCGTTTTTGGTGTCGTTGTTCTTGTGGATGTTGTTGTATCCTTCTCGGCGTTTGAAAAAGCATTCTCCAGGAACATGTGAGCACCAAACGTGGGAGGACTCACTGTTGGGGTTCCATTCCGCGACATTCCAAGACCCTTCACCGTGGAAAGCACCGTTTAACCTACTTTATATAAAGATATTTCAAGTGGTTTGCTAATATATATGTTGGAGATAATGTTGGAGATGTCCTTGCGATCATTGGTGTTTCTTGTTCGTCCGAGGTTGTCGATCCCAAACATTCGCAGCCGGGCTGAAGCGCTACTGGTGGACTGAGATGTGACCATCACATCAGTGCAGAGGGTTTATCACATGGATTTAATCATGGGTGCGTTGATTAAATATGTATATTCGTGATTGATCAGAACCCTCATTTGCTGTATGCACTGTATGCATATCCACATTCCAATCCTCATTTGTTCCAATCCTTAAAATCCAATGTGATGTTCGCTTCACCACTTTTCTGGATGTGTCACAGGGAGCGTTGTCAATGAACCGTGTGGACTTTCGGCTGGCAGCCCTCAAACTAACGCACACCCTGAACCATAAAAGGGGTACACAGTGTAAGTTGTTCGCCACTGGGCATTTTCTAGAAGGTAAGTGAGCCTGGATCGGATAGCCGATAGCCTTTAAAGCCCGGTCCAGAATCGGATGGGCAGTTGGTTTAGGTTGTTGTCCCTTTTTTCCAACGAAACAGTGATGAACAAAAGCTCATTGATGATGATGGATATTTGTTTGGTTCGCTGGTTTCGTCAACAAGTGTAGCTAGATGTAGCTAGTCAAGACAAAAAGCCCCTCATAAGACTCAAGGGTTTGGCCTCCTCAGGGCTAGGCAGCCGCCTTCGCATGGGCCGGAAGTGCCCGCCCAACACACTCGAGCCAAAGATGCTCAAAGTGACTCCTGGTGTGGACCGAAACCAGTCAGGTGGAGTCAAAGACTCCTGGTATTGCGTATGCCTTTTCTCCTTTGATATCCCTTAAAATACGTAAGAACACTGATGGTAACATGACAGGATTGAAATGCCCACAGAACTGACCATCAAAATAGCAGGGGCCTAAGCTATGCATGCCGTGAACATACCGGAACATAGCAAAGGTTTGTGTTGGAAACATCTAGAATCTACAGCCCAAAACCCCTGTGAGCCTCTCTTGAAGAGTTTGCTTCTAGTTGGTGTCGACCATGATCGCTTCCCATGTGAGCCCTTCGCACTTGGGTTGGCTCGGTGCAGGGAAAGACGTGCCTCGCGATATGCTGTGGGGGTTGGACTTGGAGATGCACACGCTGCCATGATTTGAGCCCTCCACTTGCCTTGTCAACACTTCTGCTTGATGCTCTCACATGTTCGTTGTTGAAGCTCCTTTGCTGGTTCTTTTGTTCAGCTGGGGATGTTGCAGACCAGGGCTTATTTCCAAGCGATGTCATCAATATTTCGACGCAACCTGCGCTTGCCAGTCAGCCATCCACGTTTTGAACTGATGTTCTGATTTGGAGCTGAAGGGTCCTGGTTGGGCAAGAGCTAGCAGCTGCCAACTGTATTCCGCTACTATGCTTGGAATGGAGCATCATAAGTTCAGCCAAAAAAAACATCAAAGCGCTAGCGTTCTGTAGACATTGACATCAAGAAATAGGTGTAACTCGGCATGGGGCGTCCTACACTTGCTAGGTAGGCAAGCGAAAACCGAACTGAACTCCCGGTCATGTGGGGACCGGGATGTTTATAAGGGTGTTTCATTAAGTTTTGCATTAAGGAACAAGAGGACGCTACTAGGAGCAAAGGGCATCGTGCGCTACTAGAAGCTCAACCGAGCCACACCCCCAGTTTGCTCCAGGGACCGACTACCACAATGCCTTGAAGCTGGGCTCGGGTGCTCAGCGGGCGAACAAAACGACATCCCGTTCTTGCCACAGCCAATGATTGGTCAACTTCAGAATATGAAAAGGCCCGGTGGCTTGTACCAACTATAGTAACCAAAGAGTAACTAAGGTGGTGTAAAAGCCTGCGCAAGGAGATGCACAACCCACACGTCCGCGAGCCAGCCAAGGTTCCAGCATGAATCAAGAGGAATCATACAGCTTCGTCCATTGTTTGACACTTCTTGGAGTTGACATCGAGGCAGCAATTCCATTCTCATTGTTGCCATACTAAGGCTACCGCTACTTGGTTGCCCAACCTTTTTGTCCGGAAATGTATGGAAGAGACAAGACCTTAGGCCCTGTGCACTGGCACACTGGGATTCTTCCGTTTCCATATCCTTATTTCGGGTTGTGTAGAGAGGATGCTTTTCAAGCCCAACAACTTTGGCAGGTTCAATCAGAGAAAGTCTTGGTATGCTTGCAAGCCATCATGCGGACAGCAACTAAATAGCCTTCCACCCGGATACTATAGCTGTTAGATCAGCAATATTGAATATACCATCCCGTATGACAGGACTAGAGTACTACTGTACCTAAAAGGTTCCCTAATCATCCTAATCCAGCCCAACAGTCCAACAAGAGTTGCTCATTCAAGGCTTGAATCGAGGAAGATTTTACAGGAGTTCTCATAATTTATTGATTTTGATCGCCAGGCGATACCCAGCCATGGCCCAGGCTATGACATTGAAGAGCTTTGTTGGCCACAGTGGCTTCAAGAAAGTGACGTCGCAGCTTGGCAGTCCAAGTCGCTGAGCTGTTGGAATGGCAGACATGATGGTTCGACGCTTTGGTGGGTGGCCGTTGAACATGAGACGTCGAAGCAGCGGGAGCCAGACGTTGGCTGGTGTCGCTTTGAGCTGCATTGAGACGTAAGACGTCTAGTGACTATAGTGTATATTTCAGACCATTCACAAGATCAATGTACTGCAAAGAAAAAGCAGCTAGAGCAGATACATGAAGGCCGTTTATGAAGACCCCCAGTGGGTGAGCAATAGACACATCGTAAGGGTTCTTGATAGACACATGTGATGGATATCTAGGAGTTTCACAGTGACTGCAGTGAAGGTACCAGTCTTTATCCAAAATTAAGGTCTCTCACACCACTTTCATGACGACTTGGATGTCCCAGCCATGGATGTGAGGGAGGGCTTGCCCTTTCCTCGCAGAGTTTGCTCCACCTGTGCCCGCGACGGCGCTTCACGAGGGGGTCGAGCTCGTCCCAGTGAGCGCCAACCGGAGATCGCCTCACGGGGGAACTCCTCCCGCGACCGGCCGCACCTGCAACCGGCGTCACTGTCCGGACCTGCGAGCGCCAAGGCGTCCCGTCGAGGAAACTGCGCCGGAACGGCGTCATTGGGAAGCTTTGGACACGTGGTGTTGCCACAGGCAGAACAGGCTGAGAGCATTGCAAGCATTCAGCTCCAGCACATCCAGCAGATGGCCATAACGTGTGAAGATGCTGTGCGGCGAATCGATGCACTTTATGTGGCCACTCGGGACCTTTTGAAGGAGCTTCACCCGCTGAACAGTGGACCTGAGGACGCAGGTTTCCACTCGAGCAGAACTCAGAGAGAATTGGAAAACCTTCCACCACTGCCAAGACGATCTCGTGAGGAGACGGCGCCTGCGGAGCCTGTGGAGCCTGCGGAGCCTGCGGAGCCGGAGCTCTTCTCGGAGCCGGAGCTGTTCTTGGAGCCTCCCAGTGTCTCTAGCCCAAGCTGCATGCCAGAGTTGCCGACGGGACGCACCGAAGCCATCAAAAAGGCGGTAGTTGGTTCCCAGAATGATCAGACTTGTGTCGAGGGGAAAGCGAACACAGAGGAGAGTTTCACTGACCTAGTTTCTTGTCTATCCATTCTATCATCACACACGCCGGCGCCCATGGGCACACGAAGTGTGATGCTGCCATGCGGCCAATACATTGACCTGGACATTTTCTCTTCACAGTTCAGTTCAACTGCAGCTGCCAACCGAAGCCTACGAAGCAACATTGCCGAAAAGATGCGGTCAGGAGAGCTCTATCAAACGATCCTGCGCCAATTGCTCATATGCCAAGAGAAACTAGATAGAGTTCAAGAAATTGATCGTTCAAAAGACACCTTCAAGGAAGCAAGGAAGTCAAAGTTCGAAGACACCTTTCCCTCGGCTACGGCTGGCTATGCCGCCGGCTATGCCGGTGGCTATTCCGCCGATTCCGTCCGGACTCCCGTTGGGAACGGGCTTCGCTGGTCCCATGGAGAGCTGCGGGACTTTGTCCGGCAAAGTTTTACGGAGTTGGGACTTTTGGTTTCTCCTCCGGAGTCTTTGATCTATGAGGTTTATGCGAGCTACTTTGATCCAGAGCTCCATTTGTCGTCGTTGACGCCCCTGCAGTCCATTTCTTTCTTGGAAGTCTTGCTGCGTGCGACCTTCCACACCTGCCACACCGAGATCAAACCTGCTCTCAGTGCTGCTTCGACCTCTGGTGCTTCTTTACAGCGTTTGCATTCCACTCTGGAGTCCGAGAAGCATAGCCATTTGCACTCCTCACAGATCTCCACTTCGGAAACCCATCCGACAAGCCTGGCACAGCGCTGGGTGAATTCCTATGTGCCTTTGCCAGTGGATGGAACGGTGAGCATTGCATATTCCACGGGCGTCGTCATCCAATTCGCTGCTTTCACCTCCTTGCTACAAAATCTCGCAGACGAAATGAATGAGAAGACCGGAGAGAAGGACGGAGTGCACACAAAAGACTCCAGTTCAAGGAGAACACACTTGCTGAGTAGGATTTCGAGCTGCCAGCTTTTGAAGCGTGGGCTAGACGTCTTTCAAATGTTTGACGCGGGATCAGGATATTTGGGCTGGTCCAACAATGAACTGACAAATTTTGTTTCAGCAGTTTTTGAAGAAGAAGATTTGACTCCTCCCTCTGTTGAACAGGTGGCACCCTTTTTTGAAAAGTTTGCGCAAGGCAATACGAAGCTAAACACTTCGGAATCTCTTTGCCTAGTGGATGCCATGTTCCGTGCGATCTTGCACTCTGGAAGCCCAGCAAGATGACTATGCATAGTTTTCAGCCAGAATTGTCGAGGAACGATTCGACCAATTTGGTGCTGTGAAGAGGCCTGGAGACGCTTAGTCTTGTCTCCAACGCTAGAATGGCGACTAGAATGGCGTTTGTGCAAGGATGCGCAAATTGAAAAGTTTTTCCTTTTGCGTCGACAGCAATGCTACACAGCCCACCTCACGCAGTGGTCATGGAATTCCAGAGGGAGTTCGTGGAGTTGTCAGTGCAGTCATCATGACGTTTTGCGTATGCATATTCATCCATCATTATATATACATATAGATGTATACCGGATATCTAACTATTATTAGATTATGTATACAAATAGCGTTGTTTTCTACATATGTGTCGAAAACATGTTATCATATATACATACATACTACGGCATATGCAATGATCACATGGCCAATTTTTGGCATGACCGCGATCCCATTTGGATCCCCTTGACCAGGAAACCGGGTCGCCCTAGGCACCGCTCTTGCCGCACGTCCTGTCTCCCGGCGAGGTGCTCGGCTTGGTAGGCCGAAGGGTGGCTTGCACCTGTCGAAGCGGGTGGAAATGGACTTGACTTGGGCGGCTGTAGAGAACGCCGTTTGAATCCTAGTCCAAATTGTTATTGTCACATGTCAGTCAACTGTTTCCACTTTTGCATCCTGCACTTTGTCGAACACTTTGGAAACGTTGACCAGCAAGGGCATACAGCAAGATACTCGTTCATATTCCACAATGTGCCTTTGGGTTTCATGGGCGTACGCTGAATGGTGGGCAGTGTGTCAAGCCATCAATCTCGAGGCAGTGGACGGCTTTCCTTGCCCAGTCACTGTCAGAAAACAAGGAAAAGGACATGGACATACAGCTGCATTATTCATGCCAACCTACTGCCAAACATCTCCCACTCAAAAACATACTGTGTTTGGGGTTGTTTCTGGTTCAGCAGCAGAGTTTTGTGCCCATGATGAGTGGGATTTGATGATTATCCTAACATTCAATTTGGAATATGGTACCCACCCATGAAGGCTACCCTAAGTAAAGTCAAATATTTTGGCTGGCTTACAACAGACAAACACATACAAAACATATTTTTACCTTGGGCCCTGCCCCCCCCCGTAACAGTCGTAAAGGGTCAGGGCCCTTAAACCATACCCCCAAAAACAATAATCATATTCAAAGTCATTAAAGGAAATTGGATTGTAATTTCTGGTCTAGGAAACGCAAAATGATTGGAGTAGTGGGCGGGTTAACTCAAAAGAACACAAATCTGAACATAATTGCAAACCAACAACAACCAGTATCATCCCAATCCCTTCACTAATTTGTCAATCTCAAGTGGCAATTCAAATTATGATATGATGGCTCAAGACTGGAACGGTAGCAGGTGGCCAGGATTGCGTGCTCTCACAGCCAAAGGAAAGATGAAAGAAAGAAAGGAAGGGAGATTGTGATTACACTGGGAGCAGGATGAGAGCCAAGTCCAAATTGGCTCTGGCTCCCTGCTCCACCCCCTGGCTTCCGGCTCCCCACCCATCGCTCCCGGCTCCCCACCCCAAATTTTCAAACAAATTGTCCAAATCCCCGTGGTTTTTTGTGCTTTTTTTGTGCTTTTTTCCGCCCTGGACCACAAGTCATACCACAAAAAAAGCACACAAAAAAGCACAAAAGGAATTCCACTTGATCTGGGGTCAGTTCTGTTTGATTTGGGGTTGAGTTTTGGGATTGGTTCCTCTCCTTCTTCCCTGCCTCACGGTCCCCCACATCCCCTAGCCCTGCCCCTCGGCCGCTGGTGGCCGTGCTGCTGGTGGCAGCAGCTTGGCTCCTGGAGCGCTGCTTGGTGGCAAGATTGTAAGGATTGGTGGGATGAGAGTGGAGTGGGAAATGGGTTGGTCTGGGGCCTTGAGCCAGTTCTTGAACCAAGCCCATTGGGCCAACCTTTTCACACTTTTACTTGAACACAGAGCAGCTGAGCTGCCGCTTTCTTTGGGCCAAAACAAACTCTTGGGCCAAATATTGCAGCCTTTTCTGATCCCAGACACAAGTCCAACACAGGCAGTGACACCGTTAGCCTGGTGACACTTCAGCTGGAACCTGGAGTCCCTGAATTATTAGATTACCTGCAGGCTTTATGCCATACAGGAGATTGGCTGATAACAGAATCAGTAGTGCACTTAGTCCACACAGCACAACACAAAGGCACAAACCACAATGGATAACAACAGTGCCTGCTCATACCCCTTGAATAGGGGAAGGACAGCACCAACCAAACAGAGCAACAAAGAGCAACTTGCAACCAAGCAAGTTGCAACAAAGCAACAACAAATCAACAAGGCAGTCAGTGACTGGCACCAAATCCAGGTGTCCAAGAATCACAAGCAGTCAGTGAGTGG